GCGCATACTCTCACACCCAAACGACCATTTCGCTCTGAACCGCCAAGGCGTGTATTCGCGTGGCCAAGTTAGCATGGCAAGCGGCGTCTATGTGACTTCAAAGTACGCCAAAATGCTTATTCAGGTTACTCACGCTTACAAACAGTCCTTGGGCATCATCACTAAATTGTCTTTAAATCGAAAACAATTAGTGCAAGAATAAGGTGAGAATATTCTTTCAGTATTAATTTCATGAATCATATACTTTTACTACACACCTTAAGCTTTAGATGCGCGTCACAGACACACTAATACATTTCCTACAGCACCTGTGCTTAAGTGTTACTAAAACAAATGATTTTCCCTCCAAAATCTGTGTAACAAGCGCACTGCAGAACAACCAGACTAATAGGAGAAAAAAAACGACCCGCAAAACAAGCGATGACACTGAATTTCTTTTCGTATTAGTCCATGGCTGTTCTGTTGGGCACCTCTACATTGAAGTATGAACCGATACCAACTGGCCAAGTTGCCGTCTCGCTGCAGTTGCTTAGCCATTCGCTTACAAAATTCATTGTGAAAACAACTTGCGGTAACCTGTTCGAACAAATGGAACGCCCCCTGGTATATCACCGATGTCCAGCCGCGACGACGAAGTCATGAGCTTTGAAAACAATATTACCAAGCTTACAGTACCATCTCTTCGGTGGGAGTGACGGCACGCTAGAATAAAAAACAAAAAGCTGATGGGTCTCTCTGCTCACTTCACGGGTTAGTTGCCTTTTTTTCAAATCACTTTCTAGCAGCTTCCGATCTGATGGTTCTTTACTTGTCCTGCTTCAATGCCCTGAAGCAGTTCCCGAGCATTCATTGTATCTTCTATGCCTCCTGGTCATAATAGGGGACATAAAATCAGATCCTGGTCATATTACTAAAATCCTAAAAAAGAAGCCTAATCCTGTTTTTGATAGCGCGCAACGTATTGAAGCTAACAATGTGAGCATTTCCAATTCCGCTAACTAGTGCCGCTCCTTCTCGCCACAATAATAAATGATTTCAAATTTGTAACAAAAAAGTAACAGATTTGCCCCAAAGGCGTAGCAATGAATGCAATAGCGATAAATTGGCATGTTACGCGAAGAACAGCAAGCAGACTCAATACGCAGTGCAACAATAATACCACATCGAAAAACCAGGATGTAAAATGGAACAGTAAAAGTTGCCGATTGGCAGGCTTTTCGCTCTTATACTACAAGCACTGCGCTGGAAGACGTGGAAAAGTGTACAAATGACAGTTTAACAGAGCAGGAAAGCACTCAAAAACGACCCAGCTCACATAGGACAACCTTGCCGTTCACCCTAACTTACTTTACATGCGGGAAGCCCACAGAGAACTCGTCAGACGCTGGAAACACAATAAAATGCAGCTGAAACTCAATATAAGAATTAAAAGCATCCCTAAATAAAAAGCGGACTAGGTCCATTAGGTCCATCGAGAATGGACGCAATCATCTGCAATGGACGATGAGCCCCAAATGTCCTGGTCTATTCAAAAAGATGGAACTTGTGGAGATGAGCTACAGAAGCTACCACGAACTGTTAACCGAAACGTACTTAGGCAGTGCTTGAAACACTCTCGCGAATAAGGCGCACAGGGGAGCCACAAGACATAATGTCCATTGTCTTATACGTAATTACCAGAGGGCAAAAGATGAAGTCATAATGAAGGTAAAGAGAATTTGTTTCTCGGAATAGATCGCTGCACTAGGGTGCACCTAAAATTTTGTTCAGACACCAGTCACGTCATCTTTAAATAGACCGCCATTACACTGCAGTATATATGTGCGTGGCCTTGAGCAACAGTACTCGCTATACTGCTCCAAGCTAGGACCACATCAACAAAATTCTTCGTAACCTTCTTGGTTCGAGATTAGAAGGGAGACTTCCACCGGATAGGAAACATGCTCAAACTATAGAGCCAAACCCAACAAGCCTTTCAGTATGCAGAATCTTCACCCCGTCTCTGTCACTTCGTGCACGGCAAAACTTTTTGAGAATATAATTCTCCGTCGCCTCACCTCGTTCTTTGAAGAGAACGGACACAATTCAAACACCATTTTTGGTCTCAATTCTAGTTTTTCTGTGCAAGACACCCTCCTATAAGGTAAAGAAGAAGTAATTGACCAATTGAACGCCTACAACAAGTGAGCTGTCCTCGCCCTTGATGTTTTTGACAAAGGCGTTTTTGAAAAAGTCTTCAATGAGAGCATCTTTCATTCTCTAAACGTTTACAATTGCGGAGAGAAACTACATCACTATGTTCGAAATTTCCTCACTGACATGACTGCAACGGTGGGACTGGAAAATTTTCGCTCCTAAAAATTCACGCTGCCATTACAAGTGGCACCACAAGTTTCTGTTATATCAACAATGTTCTTCGACTTAGCCGTGAGCTCGCTGCCTAACCTGCTAAAACGAGTAAAAGGCATAAAGAACGCCATATATGATGATGACCTCACAATCTGGACCACAGGTAGATCTACCGGAACCCAACGTGATCAGCTGCAAGGAGCGGTGAAAATTATTGAACGATACCTTGCCACCAGAAAAATGGAACTTCTGGTTTTAAAGAATTGCATGCGAGGCCGCCTACCACGGGGAATTCCAGATTCCTGAGTGACTCTTGGGGGACACAGATATCCCAAAGTATATAAAGTAAGCTTTCGTGACCTTTCTATTCAAAAAGATGGAACTTGTGGAGATGAGCTACAAAAGCTACCACGAACTGTTAAACCAGCAACGCATCTTATCAAGCGAGTTGGAAGCAAATGTCATGAACTTGAAGAGGAGTACTGCATAGCGATGATTCAAGCGTTACTTACAAGCACCATAACATACAGGACTCCATACGTCGACATAAAAAATGGTCAGTGTAACACGGTTAATATCCTCATCCACAAAGCCTATGAAATTACCTTAGGATATTCACCCACCAGGTTCACAAAAAGCTCCTCAATAATATTGAAGCACAAAATGTGAACCAGCTAGAAAATTTGAAACATAAAAAGATGGGACAAGCATTTAAACAACTTCAGCATTGCAGTCGAAAAAGAGACCCACCTGTCCTGGTCTATTTTCCATAATGCCGAAAGTTTGGCAGATTTCACGTACCTCGATATCGACGTTATGCAAAGCATGAAAAGGAAAGGTGACCGTGTTGCAATTTTTTTTTGTTCAGTGACACGTCAAGAAATGACGCTAAACTTATGTACAAATGTTGCACGCCAGATATATGTTAAAGAGTTGCAGATGTTTATATAACCAGTTGGTTGCTCTTACGCAACGATGTCAATTGGAACATGCATATTAGCTACACCAGAAGCTCATATGCAGTGCTGATACTCGTGAAGATGCTGGTCCTGGACACTGCGACATAAATGAACTGCAGCGCATGGCATCCAACTACAATTGATGGTAACCAGACATTACGGCTGTATCAAATGAGTACATATGTAATGTTTATAAAATTGGGCAGGCAGCACTGCAACCACTATAGAGGGTTCGCGAAGATTAGCACACTATTGAAAAGTAGTTCCGAGACCTAGCATAGCTCTTTGGTAGAATGCTTGACTGCCACGCAAAATGCTTGGGTTCGATTCCTGCTGGGACTCTGAAATTTATTATTTGCAATCATCCAGGGGTCAACACTGCCTATGTGAGGTTTTTCTTATCACTGATATTTATTCTAAGCCTTCGTTGGGTCGAAGCCACCGATGTCGCGTATTGCTAAATGCTGACGCGTTAAAATTTCTACGGTGTTCTTGTAGTTCCTGGATAGATACTCTCAACTAGCGGCACATAACCGCCCATGGGTATATGCCACTATCTTGTGGGAAGTGTTTGATGACGTACGCGACCGGATTGTGACAAAATCCATGCCTCGATGCACGCGTCATATTAGTTGGACCATCTTACCTTCCCATGCTAATTTCGGTTCACGCCAAGTTGAGGGAGTGAGCACAAGAGCACCCCAACGTTAGCGGCTAGATAGATAGATAGATAGATAGATAGATAGATAGATAGATAGATAGATAGATAGATAGATAGATAGAGAATGTTACAACACTTTTGACAAGCTTGTCTATTAGCCCAAACTCACGTGCTAGTGACAGAACGAGAAATAGCTTAGGTGGAATTGCATTTAAACATGTGTTTCCTTGAGGTTCTGAGAAGTTACAACGACGCAATTCTTGTTCAGACAGCTTCCTCTTTAGCAAGCCTTTTCCGGAAGTCCTTTGAATAAATTGTTGAGTTTCCTTTGCACGACATAACGCAAACTGCTCAATTTCATTATGGTGCACTTGCAACAAGCAAATTTGTGATCTTTGTCATATAGAGAAGTCTCTCATAAAAGTACACAGTGTGATAGAACATATAAAATTCATAATTTTGACGCTTTTTTCTACCTTTGTGGCGCACTTGAGAAAAGATCATGAAGGGGACGCTTGTAGCACTGATTCATTTTATCTTGACTCGTCTGCGTGAGCCCTTCATCTTAATCAGCGCTATCTTAAACCAAGGGCAGCATTTCATCACAGTTATCATTGGCACCATCAATGTTAATCACATAGTTTCTTTTGGCGTTGGAGAAAATTGTGCCCGTGGGAAAAGCGGCGGTAGCCTTCACTCGGGTGCACCAGCTCGATGCGCCGCCGTTGCGTAAAATTTGCCTTCATAATTACGTTTGATTTTCAAATTCATTTAAAAAGCATTTTGTTACACAGTATCGTATGTTTGTTGAGTATCATAGAATAGGAGTGATGCAGTAGTCGATGAGTGGAGATAAGGTAAGCTAAGAAACACAAATATTAGCACGATGTGTCTCAGTACCCTTGAATTAAGTCACAACAAATAAGAACAGTGGTGACTATTGCGACACTGATAAGAATTGCCCTCCATGAACAGTCCTGTTCATTCGTGTGTAAAGTCGATTGTGAATAAGGCCGTAATTCCAGGCAGAGTTCAGGGGTTTCTAAAAATTTTATTTTGTGACTTGATGATGTTCGATCTCTTCCCACGTATCTGTAACGATGTTCATCCTCTACAATGAGAGAACCGTTTCTGAAAAAACAAAAACAAATTACAACTGTAATAACAATCACCAACCACAACCATTAATGCCCTACCTGAATCAAGTGAGAGCATTTTATCCCGTAATACCATGCCAAGCATTCAATTGAGAACAAGTGCATGGTTTTCCCAATGGCATGAGTGTAATGTACACAAAATCAACGGAATTGCCGTAAAATATATCAAAGGCAACGTCACTATAATGCAGAAAGCCTACTGACCACGCAATGAATTGAAAATATTTTGCCTTTGTGTTCATGCACAAACTTTTTATTACTAGCGCCATCACGTGTATACTTCCAGGCTTTCCTCTCACTTGTATAATATTAAATTAATAAAGAAGATATGTACTCACACTTCTTCCTGCGGAGAAGGGTGGTGTAGTCGAAGGGAGTGCCGAGACCATAGCCATAGTTCAGGCCGTAGACGCCGATGCCATGACCGAGAGCGTAGCTGCCAGCACCGTAGCCCAGGGTTCCAACGCCATATCCGTAGACTGGAGCGGTCTGGTAAGTAGAGAAGGCTGGGGCAGCCTGAGCAACGGTGGCAACAGCTGGCGCGTGGTGGACGGTAGTGGTGGCAACAGCTGGAGCTGCGTGGACAGCAGCAACAGCTGGGGTAGCAGCATAGGTGGCGACAGCTGGAGCAGCAGCCACAACTGGAGCAGCCTGGTGGAAAGTAGTAGCAACTGTCGGAGCAGCCTGGGTGTAGGTAGTGACGCGGGACACAGCTGGGGCAGCGGCAACAGTGGCAACAGCTGGAGCAGCGGCCACAACTGGAGCAGACTGGTAAACCCGTGTGACAGCTGGGGCGGCAGCAACAGCTGGAGCAGCCTGAGTGTAGGTGGTCACGTGGGACACAGCTGGGGCAGCGGCAACAGCTGGAGCAGACTGGTAAACTCGGGTGACAGCTGGGGCGGCAGCGACGACTGGAGCAGGCTGGGTGTAGGTGGTGATGCGGGACACAGCTGGGGCAGCAGCCACAGTAGCCACAGCAGGGGCAGCAGCCACAACTGGAGCAGACTGGTAAACCTTAGTGATAGCTGGGGCGGCAGCGACGACTGGAGCAGCCTGAGTGTAAGTTGTCACGCGGGATACAGCTGGGGCAGCAGCCACAACTGGAGCAGACTGGTAAACCCTAGTGACAGCGGGGGCGGCAGCGATGACTGGAGCAGCCTGAGCGTATGTGGTTACTTGGGACACAGCTGGGGCGGCGGCGACAGTAGCGACGGCTGGGGCAGAAGCCACAACTGGAGCAGACTGGTACACCTTGGTGACAGCTGGAGCAGCAGCTACAGTGGCGACAGCTGGAGCAGCAGCCACGACTGGGGCAGCGTGGTAGGAGGTGGAGACCGTGCGAGTAATGGCTGGAGCGGAAATGGCGTAGCTGGCAGCTGGAGCAGCGCCATAGCTAAGACCAGTGATAGCATGGCCAATGCCATAGGTTGGGAGATAGCCACCGAAGGCGCTGGTGGCCACAGCCAGGAGGATGCATGCACGGATCTAAACACAAAGGAACGAAAATGTCCGGTAACATTAAAACTTTGGTGAGTTGGTGGTAGTTCATGTTTACTTGTGAAACAGCGCGTGTTCTTTAATGTGGACTCAAATCTGAACACACAGGCCCACAGCATTTTTGCCTGCATCAGAAATGCAGCCGCCGAAGCCGGGATTAGATCTCGTGACCAGTGGGTCAGCAGTTAAGTACCTTAGCCACTAGACCACCGCAGCGGGGCAGTAATTATGAAGTGTCGGTTCATCATCTAATAAGCAAACGAGGGTGTCACTCTCTCCTCATAGCTTTTACACGTATAGTAAAAATTTTGGATATTTCCTTTATATCGTCAAAATCATTTAAACTAGCCCAGACATTGTTACGCATGAGAATTATATGAGCATAATTATTTTTGTATTTAAGCCAAACAGGTTTTCCTGGTCCTTTGCTTGTCACGGATTCTTCGAAGGGGTTCACATATATAGTGTAGTTACTACCAAGACTGATACTACGCTTCTCTGGAGCGGTTGTTGACGTGTACCTTTCAAAATACCATTCGTCTTCAGGTTAATACATTCTTCCCTATACGAGTGCTTCATCACAATGAGGGGTGGTTTTCAGGTAATGCCTAACCAACTCTTTCGAGCAATTCAACACCTATATTCAATTTATTGGCACATAACTATGCTAAATACTTTGGACTGGTAGCTATAATGTTTCACAAGTCGTGGAAACAGGTTAAGGAAAGATGCAGATATATCAAGCTAAACAAAAAATAAGTCATCAGTTTTCGTGAATAGGAGAAGCCACAAACATTGTTTCTCCTCAACAAGTTAATGACAACCGAGGAGTGATGATTGAGGTTCAATCTTAAGGAAGTTGAAGATCACTGTATGAGAGGACCCATTCTTCGAAAAACAAACATCCAATCCTATTATGAAATACTGCCGTAGCTGTATACTGAAAAGATACAACTGATTTCCTTCAAAAATGTTTAGTATGAAAAATATTTAGACTGCCAGGGGGAAATCAACCTGATGCTCTAAGGAAACCTAAATTACCCTTTCAGTTCATAGGACCGTTAATATCTGCGTTTCAAGCCCTATTTTCACATTGGTTGGTTCTGAACATACTAAAATAATCCTTTAAACTAAGCTCGCACTGAATCGTCTCTGCCAACACAATTGCGACTCTCGGCAAATATCCCAGAAACTCGAAAAACTTCAAGGATTACCATGATGGTAGTGGAAAGCTGTCGGCGTACCAGTAGCTGCTGACTTTCTGCGGCTCAGACAGCTGCTTTTATACTCGACAGAGACCATTCTGGAGAAAGAACAATGAGGTAATGCATAAGAAAGTGTGCGTCTCACCATGCCCTTTCCTTCTGCATGTCCGGTTTCGTACCTGACTGGACGCGGTAACAGGAGAAACATTATTAGAAGAAAAATATTCGCGAACAATTCTTTCGCTCGGTCACGGATAGTAAAAAAAAAGAACTCTCACCGCAGACGTTAGATCACCCTCAACGCCATCTCCTGACTTGTTGAAATTCATCACAACGAGAATCTGATCCTGAATGCAAGTAAGTCACCCCATTTTTGATAGCACTTTACCTAATTCTGCCGGTGGTAACTACTCTTTACAGATATTCGTAATCGACTGAGAAACGTCCAAGATGCTTAAGGGTTTTTTCTCGCTCAATATGATACATCATCTATTTATGCGCGTTTAAAGGCCTCTTAAAAAGCGAGATTGTCTTTGGGTAAGTTTTACTGCTGAGATATAAATATTTATTCGCAATATACATCCATATTTATTAACGCCTGTCAGAGATCCTAGCATTCGTGTCATCCCAATGTGGCAGCTCTGCTTACCTTAGGCGCTAACATAATGACATCATTTGAAGCAATTTGAAATTGTCAACACGACACCTTCAGACTGGTCGCACAAAGCCTCCAAGGAGGACGCCTCTAGGTGATCTTCCTGAACATGGTGGTTTTTGCGCTGCAAAAGACGTACACAGACAGGCGCTGTTCGTCTCTCACTTGTGTACGTCTTTTGTAGAGCTAAAAGCACCGTGTTATATGATCAACTCGCCTAGCTACAAGTTTTTATTAGGTATTGTCTTTTTGTTTCCTTTTCTCAATTTGCTTGCAACGGTTAAATGTATTTGTTAGCTTCCATAACTTTTTTTGTGCTATCAATTTCTGTTTCTATATTACTTTCTGTATCTTCCCATTCCGTTTCTATCTACATTGTTCTCTAACTTCTCGCTTTACTCTCCTCTTTCTGTTTTTCATTCTTTTCCAACTTTTTCCTTTCCGCCCCGCCGCGGTGGTCTCGTGGCCGAGATACTCAGCTGCTGACCCGCAGGTCGCGGGATGGAATCCCGGCTGCGGCGGCTGCATTTTCGATGGAGGCGGAAATGCTGTATGCTCGTGTGCTTATATTAGGGCGCACGTAAAAGAACCCCGGGTCGACTAAATTTCCAGAGGCCTCCACTACGGCGTTTCTCCTAATTAAATGGTGGTTTTGGCACGTTAAACCTCACATATCAATGAATTTTTTCTCTCTGTTTCCGAGTAGTTTTCTGTCTTTCGAGCCTTTCATATTTTTTTAAAGTAACGAAACTATAATTGATCCCAATGAACTGCTTAAACCACAAAAGCTGACTGCGTCTTCACCTCGGAAGAGGAAGGTCGCAGGTGTATGAGTGGTGCCTGCCCAAGCGACGACCTTCAGCTCAGGAGCTGAGCCCCGCGTTTCTTCTAGCATTGCGCTTCAGTGCATTGCCAGAAGAAATGAGCAAATTATGCGGCTAGTAAGGTGCAGATATTTTATACGGTGAGTGACTCTCCTCTGAAACATTGTAATAAATATTTCTTAATAAAGCACAAGTACAAACACACAAGAAGATATAAAAACTGTGTATTCTATTCTAGGTCATTCGGTGCTGTATTTATTCAATAATGTTATCCATGTTCGTAGCTTAGGGCTGGTGAAGGGTCGCGCGGTCGAGCTTAAGATAGGAGTTCTAGTTTCGGGAGCATAGTAAAAATGACACCGTTGTGCGTTGAAGAATCTCAGGTGATGAATATCTATCCAGAGGCCCTCACAACACCCAGCAGGTCACCACTATCATAACCAGGATAAGTTTTACGTGCATTTTGCACGTATACCCCACCCATTTCAATTACTACATTTACTAGCAGTATTCATTTTTAATATATTTTTTTCAGTCGATGTCATTATTCGTTCCACGCGATTGTATGCGTAGGGGTGTTTGGTTCGCATATATTTTGCATTGGTTCGCAACTGTGCATGTCAGGAGATCCCGACAGATTTTTATTGTTTGCAGCTGTATCGATATTATTCTACATAAGTTAAACAAAGAAATCTTCAGTGTATAGGCCATGCTCATCACTCGGGCGATTTCCACTTCGTTAGGTCGTGAAACCGGTTTACTATACTGTTTTTTATTGCGACCTTGAGCGTGTCAGTGGACGTATATTGAGCGTGTCAGTGGACGTAAAAACAGTTATTCTACATGCTCTCAATGCATACGTAATTACGCCTTACGAGTATCCGGTTCGGTAACCCCGCCTGACGTGCTCTGCCTTCAAAGCCCTCCTTCAGCTTCAGTCTCTGCAGTTCTCCAGCTCCCGAGTCACTTTACATCTTGTCTCTTTTATTTTAGGGGCGAAGCTCCTTAAGGCGTTGGTCTGTTCATCTCTCGTATGTACGTATTGTAGCCACTGTTGGCACATACCCGCTCGAAAGCCACAAGGTATGTGAGGTAGGAGATGGTAGTACTTGAAGTGTTCGCTAGATGGACGCACAGATGCACGGACAGGCAGACTAGCAGATGGACGGACGGATAGATAGACGCGCAAACGTATGGACGCAGGAACAGACAGACAGACAGATGGATGGGCGGACTCATGAACGAACGCAAGGACAGACGGATGGACGCATGGATGGACGCACAGATGGTCGCGCGGACGGACGGAAGCAAGAACGAACGAATGAACGAGAGCACGGATGGCCTAATGGACGCTCCGCCTCACTCATCTTCATTCACTCAATGGATATGCTGTGCTTTTTTTTTAAATTCGTCTGAAGCATTCGTTTTATTCAATTCTTTTTGTACAATATTTTATTCTAGTGCATGGGAATGGCGTTGTTTCAACACATTATTTTTGCCAGCTTTTCCCAAAACTCGCATATGTTTCATCTGCAATGCGCCATAGTGATAGGTGACAGAAAAGTAATCTAAAGCATAATTTTCTGGTCACACTTGTCTCTGGAACTTTCAACCATAGCCACAGCAAACGAGCCCATATCTTATTTTTACAAATTCCCTTCGGCATTAGGGCTAGACTAAGTGGTTTTCACAAACTAACAGACAGGAGTCGGAAGCTTTCTGCCTGTGCTATTAGCAAAAAATCAACGTACTTGGATTACCTGTATATAGCACCTAAATCAGTTATTTATTCAAACAATCAGTTTTCCGCGCTGGTAGCGTCGTGTTTTGTAATGGGAATTGCTTGGAGGGAAGTTACGTTCAATGTGATCTTCGGTTCTCGGGTGGTTAACATTCAAGGTACATTTACTTCCCTGAGAACAAATAAGGCTCTTCTAATGAAGGGCTTCAGTTTTTCCATTCGAGCCGATTATTTCAGTTCACAATTTAAAAAGATAACAAATTTAGTTTTCGTACTGATGAACGGTGCCTCTATTTGCTGAATGTGGCTGCCTTTAGAGCAGCAGTACTAATAAAGGCATCAAGCATATATTCCGTATTCCTAGTTTTTCAGGATTTCTGGACACGTTTCTTTAAACACAATAGTGGTAGCTCATTAGAGCACAAGCTCTAAATATAGGTGGCGGTAGCTAATTTTCAGCACATGCTCTGCTATGCTTCTTGTTATTGGGAAGCGATTGAAATAACCCGACCATGTGGTGCTCCATCCATGGAGTGAATGATAATGAGTGTAGCGATGTTTCGAAGGGTTTTATCGGTTGTGATGAGGCACCAAGACATCGTTGAGAAGACAATGAAGTGACGGCAAAAACGCGCAAGCACGCACACTGACACACTGAATCAAGAGTGGTTTGCGCACGTGGCCTCGTGGCACGTGCAAAAGAAGAAAGAACAGGCCATGTTGGCCGATCAGACGGAGTCAGAAGCAAGAGAGAAGGCGCGATGGCCTGGCCAGACGTCGACTTTCGGGAGGGTAGCGTTGCCTGAGGTAGCTCGTCGGACATCAACGCCCGAAGAACTACATACACGGCACGCCTTCTGCTCCGGCGCTCGGCGGACGCAGACTCTGCGACAACCGGCCTGGCCCTTCTCGTCCGACAGCAGTGACGACGCCACAGTTGCTTCGTCAGTCCCCTAACGCGTGAGCGCGTCGTTTGTTTGAACTGATTAGATTATAAAGAGACTTTGCCCATTCATATTGCTTGATGTGCTTTGTAATTGTGTTGTTTTTACCATTTTGTGTTAGAATACATGTTTGTGTGCAGTGCCCACGTGCGTTTTATTCTTTGCTGTCCTAGCCAGCGTCTTTGACATAGACCACAAAGCATGCTCCCCGAACTTTATATCCTAAAATAGAATCGTTAGTCCATTCGTCTGTCTGTCTGTCTGTCTGTCTGTCTCTGTATGTATGTATGAATGTATGTATGTATGTATGTATGTATGTATGTATGTATGTATGTATGTATGTATGTATGTATGTATGTATGTATGTATGTATGTATGTATGTATGTATGTATGTATGTATGTATGTATGTATGCATGTATGTATGTGTGCCTCTGTGTGTGCCTGTCTGTCGGTCACTCCCTCACACTGGCGCCACCTGCTGAGTCATCCACACACTAAGTGGTCACAAACCACTCACAGTAGTAGGACAAACCCCCGACTTCAGGAGCGTCACCCCTAAAGCCGTGGGTCATCCAGAAAGTCTTTAATGTGGCCTGCCAGTGTCAACGTGGGAGAAGCGCACTGCACGCTAGGCGCGTATCTCAGGACTCTACTTAAAGTTTCAACATCAATCCGGTGTCGGCGGAATGGCGGTGTCATCGACATGACCTAGTCTCACAAAACATGCTGCATGTGGCATTCTAGAGGGCATATTAAGTCGCGCAAGTACATGATTAGTGAAGATAAAGGCATACCTCATCGTGATCATAATTGTGAAGCAAATGTACATTACGAGACGTTGACGGAAACAGCTAACGAATGACAAAGAGTGCCTATTCTCA